CCCCGCACAACATGATCTACTCGACCACCAATATGGTTATCGCCAAAAAAACAACCGGAGGTAAAAAATACCCGGTAACCTGGTTGCCGATTTCACGAAGTGAATTGGCTTGTTTTACAACGTCGTTGCTAAGCGACGAAAACCCAATCCCGATGGCAAACACCGGGGGGGGCGGCTTGTTTTACAACGTCGTTGCCAAGCGACGAAAACCCAACCCCGATGGCAAACACCGGGGGGGGCGGCTTGTTTTACAACGTCGTTGCCAAGCGACGGAAACCCAACCCCGATGGCAAACATACGGGGGGAGGGCTTGTTTTTCAACGTCGTTGCCAAGCGACGAAAACCCAACCCCGATGGCAAACACCGGGGGGGGCAGGGGGGCATCATTTGCCCATTTCATGCACGTGATTTTCTCTGCATTGGTTGGATGCGGGAGTCGATCAACATTGCTTTGGTTGTGCGAGAGTCCCTTCACATCGCTAGAATCGGTGCACGCGACGAGTATGGTTGCTCATAGGTGAGGCATGGGAATACTTTGCTGTGGGTAGGCGCATGCGCTACAGGCGCAGACCAAAGTTCACTGCGTGCATCACCACCAGCGATCAATGTATAGGCCATGCCCACGGTATGAGACTTCGACTGTGATGATTCGGAACTTGAGCGTACACCTTTCGTCGGAGCTTGACGAAGGCAGAGAGAGGTAGTCAACTTCCGATGATGTTGTGGGTGGCTGGAGGGACTCACCACCCGTGTTTTGCATGCCTATATCGTCTACTTTGTTTTGGAGAGTTTTCTTGTGAGACGGGGCCGGCCCTTTGCATCGCATTTGTTCATATGTCACATAAACAAGCCTACCTCAAAAGCGAACATACCACCGCCGCAGGACACCTTTCTCTACGTTGAGGCAAGGGTTGTTGTCGTTGTTGTTGTTGGTGGTGTTGTTGTTGTCTTCACATTTAACTCGTGTCAGTTGCTTATCCCAAAATCTAGCAAAGAATCGCCCCGTGGTCACAAAAATGCTAGAGCCATCAGAAGATCTAAAGAGCAAGAAAGAGTACACGACGGGGAAAAAAATCCGGACACATAGAGTAAACCGGCCAAAAAACGAACGCTTAAGCCACCTCTCGCGCCAACAGCTCGTTCTCGGGCGTGAGAACGAATTTCAAGTGTTTTTAAGTATCGGACGATAGGGTACATTGTAGGCTACCTCTCTAAAACAAACAAAAACAAATCGTAAGGGCAGATGAGATAGAGCTGATGCAGTGCACCTCTCAGTGTTTAACGAAACATGGTGGAAAACACCCCCCCCCAATTGAGGAACGGTGTTTGCCATCGGGGTTGGGTTTTCGTCGCTTGGCAACGACGTTGTAAAACAAGCC